ACACACACACACACACACACACACACACACACACACACACACACACAAACACTGCAGGGGGAATATTCACAGAGAAACATCTGCAGTGCAGCTGGAAACAACACAACAGCAAAGACTGATCCTGCGTTCTGATTGGTCGATGGTGAAGGAGGTCAAAATGTCTGGGCATGGTTGATATGATCACGCGTTCACTTCCATATTTTAGATTTGTGTAACGTCATTATTCGGACAGATGCAGGGGATACCGCTTTAAATATTTATGCAATTCCGTAAACAAATAAAAAACAACACCAGTTAAATTCTAAACTGAACAGAAAACAGACACTATTCATGCTAACGGCTACAAACTGACAGAATGTGGGACGTGGATAAATCCTGGAGCAGAACTGTTGGATCCTTCAGTCTCAGTCTCATTGTTCTGTTTTCATTCAGTCATTGAGACAGCAGTTTCCTCCTCTTCCTCATCCTCCTCCTCTGTTGCCATAGAGGGGGATGTAGTTACCATGGTTACAACTCTGCCTGGAAACATAATTTATTCAGGAATATGCTGTGGAAACAGAGATTCCTGAGCTGTGATGTTGAGTCCATTCATCAGGGGTGGAGAGAGGAACTGAGACCCCCCCCAGTAACTCACAGAAGAGCAAACCAAACATACATTTTAGAACTGTTCTTGGATTTAAATCATAAATGCACATATCTAAAGTTAAAGAAAAGCAAAAACACTGTGTAAAATAATAAAGAGCTTAAAAAATTCACACGTTAATCTGAAACTGCAATAAAAACTAAATCATCATTCAGAAGGTCTGAACATTATGAGTGCAGGTTAGATTCATTAAGATCCAATAAGCTTTTTCTTCCATTCATCAAACAATCCAGGTATCCAACCAACCAAACAATACCATCCAACAAACTAAACAATCCAGGTATCCAACCAACCAACAACACCATCCAACAAACCAAACAATACCATCCAACCAACCAACAATACCATCCAACCAACCAACAATACCAGCCAACCAATCAACCAACCAACAAGGCTAGGAGCCACATAAACAACAAACCAACCAACCAGCATGGCCAACAGCCAAGCAACCAACAAGGCCACCAGCCAACTAACCAACCAACAATACCAGCCAACCAATCAACAATACCAGCCAACCAATCAACCAACCAACAAGGCTATGAGCCACATAAACAACCAACCAACCAGCATGGCCAACAGCCAAGCAACTAACCAGGCAACTATCCAACTAACCACAAATTAGGCAGCCAGACAGCCAACCAACCATCCAACAAGGCCAGCAGCCAAGCAAACAATCAACCAAATGGCCAGCAGCCAAGCAACTAACCAGGCAATTATCCAACTAAGCAAAAATTAGGCAGCCAGACAGCCAAAGAACCATCCAAACAACATGGCCAGCAGCCAACCTACCAACCAACCAACTAACATGGCCAGCAGCCAAACTAACCAGGCAACTAACCACAAATTATGCCGTCAGACAGCCAACCACCCAAACAACAAGGCCAGCAGCCAAGCAAACAACCAACCAACAAACAAGGCCAGTTAACCAACAAGGTCAGCCAACCAGTCAGTCAGTCAGCCAGCCAACAGCAGCAACAACAACAATATTCACTAGGATTCTTTGTATTCATCACCACCAGACTTTAATTCTTTGTTTACATTAAAACAATGGTCACTAAAAGAAACAGATAATCAGTAGTTCTACAACTGTTGGATCAAGCATGTCCTCTGAAAGAACTCAACCTGGGTGAAAAGCCTCCATCTGTCAGAGAAGCAGAACAGACTGAAGACAAAATGTGAACCAGACTAAGTTCACATGATCCGAGGTCTGCATGTTGTCGGTTCTTCAGATGGGCTCCAACACCTTGAATGCTACAGCTTCTGTGTGTTTTCACTCTTCTGAGACCTGGTTTTATCAGAGGGTTTGTTGTCAGGTAAGAAATGTTGAAGGAGCAGAACCAGCACTTTGTAGAAGGTTAGAATCAGAAGAATTGTTCATGCTTTAGAAGACATTCAGGGCTCATAAAGTGTTGGTGCAACAGCTGCTGATCCAATAAACCAGAACATCGGACTGGACAGAGGAGTAAACAAAGGGGAGATGACACTGTCCTCCATCACTTCTGTTACCTAGTAACAGCAGCAACAGCCTGAATGCAGCAGCTGTTTTCAATCGATTCATCTCCACCCTTCTCAATGTGAATCAGTTATCAGAAACACCATCAGAACCTGGTTTAAGGTTTTGGTCATCAGCCACATTCAGCTGCTCATGTTTTGTTTTTTCTTGTCTGTATGTTGTTTGTTTTTGTTTGTTTGTTTGTTTGTTTTCCATCTGGATTTTGTGGGTCTTTGTGTTTCAGGGACCCCTGCTACCTCCAGGATGTTCCGACTGAAGGGACTCTCTTGCAGTCTTTGGCCAATCAGAGTCAGGAGACGATGAAGAGAGCCAATGAGATGCTGAAGGAGATGGAGGCTGTGAAGGCTGAGATAAAGATGCTGCTAACGGTAAGAAACTGGGTCTAACAGAACCAGAGTCAGAACCAGAGTCAGAACCATTCCGAAGTTTTTGTTTTGTGAACGCTGATTCAGAATTCACTCTGTTGTTTTCCTCTTTGCTCTGTATGATATTTACAATCTAGCTACTTCTTCAGACTTTGTACTATTTTAGCAGTTCATAAATCAAAACATTCGGCTCATTCAGCTGATGGCGGCTGCAACGTTTGGTATTTGTTACTTTTAAATTTTTCTAAATAAGTACCCGTAACTTAAAAAATATTTTCTTCCTAGAAAAACATAGAATTGTTTCTAGTTCTTCAAAAACATTCTTCTCTTTGAAGCCTGCTACCATTCTGGTACTTTAGCTACAGTTTTGCTAATAATAACAATTATATATTTTTACCACTGTTCTGGTACTTTTAGCTCTATTTTGCACTATTTAGCTTTTAGCTATAATTATGTTAATTTTGGTTTCTGGTTTGCTGATTTAGGTCTAGCATATGTTTAACTATTTTAGCTGCATTTTTCTAATATATATATATATATATATATATATATATATATATATATACACACACACATATTAGCTAATTTTAGTTACCGTTTTGTTAATATTTCCATTTGTTCTGCTCCTTTTAGCATTTAGCTACCATTCTGGTACGTTTAACTACAGTTTTGCTAATATGAACATCGGTTTTCCTAATTGTATATTTTAGCTATTGTTCTGATACTTGTACCTTTTAGCTTTATTTAGTTACTTTTAGCATTTAGCTATCGTATTGCTTCTGTTAGCTTTTAGCTAACATTCGCCTTCTCTTAGCTTTTAGCTACCATTCAGCTATTTTGGGCTTTTAGCTACAGTTATGTTAATTTTAGTTTCTGGTTTGCTGGGTTTACTTTTAGCATCTGTTTAGCTAATTTAGCAAGATTAGCATTTATTTTTCTAATTCTAGCCACTATTTTAGACTTTTTTAGCTACTGTTCTAATTTTAGATAATATTTAATGCTTTTAGCTCACATATTTCTTCTCTTAGCTCGTGGTCTGATCATTTCTGTTTGTGACTGTTTTTGCTTATTTCGGTTTCGGTTCAGCTTGTTTTAACTTTTCACTCTACAACAAATTTCAGTGAAGTCATTCAGCTCTCAGCGCTCGTTTCTCCAGTTCAGTGTCAAATCGGGGTTTAAAATATTGTTAATAAATTAGTTTAGAAGAAGTGGATTAGACAGAGCCAGTTTGGACCAACAAAGTCGAAGTGTTCTGACATGAGCCTCTTTATTTCATGCAGCAGCCAGAAGACTCAGGGTACTACACCAGGCCTGCATCAGAACCCCTTCAGATCCAACAAAACCAGCTCAAATCCCGACAAATCAAACGTCATCAAGACCACCTGTCTCATCAAACCAAGGTCCACCAGCCCAGTTTGGACCTGGACCAGTCCCACCAACACCATCCCCAAACAGACGATCATCTCCAATTTCAGTCCTTCCAGTTCCAACCCAAACAGACCCACCAGAACCAGCCCAAACACCTAGAATCCCACCAAAACCAGTCCAAACACCCAGAAACACACCAAAACCAGTCCAAACATCCAAAATCCCACCAAAACCAGTCCAAACATCCAGAATCCCACCAAAACCAGTCCATACTCCTGGAATCCCTCCAGAACCAGTCCAAACCTCTGGAGTTCCAACAGGACAAGTCCTATCACAACCAGTTCCAACATCTGGAGTCACAACAGAACCAGTCCAATCACCTAGACACTCACCAGAGCAAGTCCCGACACAAACAGTCCCACCAGAAAACTTCTCAACATCTGGAGTCTAACCAGAACCAGTTACAACACCCACAATCCCACCAAAACCAATTCAAGGACCAAAATCTTCAGTCTAATCAAACAGCGTCTCAACAAAATTTCTTTCCGGCGCCTCAAAACCCGTTTCATGAAATTCGCGCTCCAGAAGTTCAGAGCCATCAGTTCCAGTCTAGACTGGTTCAGAAGGGTCCAGTGCATCTGTCCATGTTGGAGGAGGCCAGTCAGGTTCTCCGTCAGGCTCGAAGACGGAAGAAGGTTCTGGAGGACAACCTGGAGACCTTGCTCAAAGCCAGGACTGGAGAGATCCTGCATTGCCAGCTGGAAGCCCTGGCTGCTAACAGGTAGCTAATGCTAATAACTAATGAGATCTAACAGCTGATTGCTAGCTAATACTATGATCTAACAGCTGATTGCTAGCTAATGTTATGATCTATCAGCTGATTGCTAGCTAATGCTATGATCTAACAGCTGATTGCTAGCT